TACGTGTGTGTTTGTTCATTGTTTCTTATGCTCTTAACAATAATAGGATAGGCTACAATAACAACAGAGAGTCTTCTGAGTGATGGTCCACCACCAGGCTAAATATAGGCTCTTTAAAGCCACACAAAATGTGTAAATGTTATTGAAATAAACAGACAGCCCACTTCCCTATTTTGCGGATTCTGGCAGATGTGATAGGCTAACAGTTGAAATTGTTGTCGTAAAGGCAAGAGCAACACCGCTAATCCAAATGTGGATTTTATTTCTTTAAATGACGCACTAGTTCCTAGGCTAGTTATAAACTCTTTAGACTTTTAAGGATTAGTGCTTTATTTTTAAAGTTTGTGGGTAAGAATCGTGTAAAAAAATCCCTTATTTTGGGGATGCATTCCGGGAAAACTCCCTTATTTTTAATGTTCAATGTTGACAGCTATGGTTAATGCTAAGGTATAAAATATAATTAGGTTACATAATAAAATGTAAAAATGTAACGAAATGATAAAGAAAGCAATGTATATGTGAGTGTGTCTATGTGTGTCACACACGAACACAATAAAACAGAACAGATAACGTTAATCAAATTATTTAAAAGTTGAAACAAGTTTATTGTCTAAAGAGCATTAAGATTCTTCGATGCATGTAAATTGTTGTTCCCTTTCTCAGCGCGTGCACAGGATCGGCCAATCACAGCCGGTGTCGATCACCGGACAATACTGTGAAAAAACTAATGCATCAATCCATCAAATTAATACATTTGAATGATTACAATTGTTACAATATGAACGCCTTCAATAACATAAATCATACTGTTTAGATTTTGTTTCACGCGCGTCACGTGATCCCATCACATATGCGTTTCCCATCATGCAACGCTTTGAATCACAGAAACGACATAAAACATCGAAATTTTACCTTCAATGAGATTTGTAGAGTTTAAATGAAATCATATTTTTATTATAATGATATATATAAATGCTTTAAATGAGTAAAAGAGCCACTCGATGGGTCTCACCGCTGCCGTGACTCGTGTTTGGAGTATGCCGTATATATACCAGGGGGTGGCGCTGTGTGCTCGGCTGGTCCGAAAGCGGTGGGTTAGTCACAATTGATTGCTTCAGTCAGTTACAGAACTCCTTGTTTCTTCTCTCCCTTCTCCCACCGCTGAACTTGACCAGCTTTTACCACATGTTCAGTGGGTGTGTGAAAGATTTCTCCAGAGGTTTTATTTTATTTATGTTTTGCGAAGATTATGGTTTTAAAGGAAAATTATGTTCGTTTTTTTATCAGTCTGTACTACACAAAGTGTGATCCAAATATGGCTTGTCCACTTAGTATGGATGGTAATATTTCTGTAAAATCAAAATCAAAGATACTATTGTTTGAACTTCGATGAAAAGATTGTGCTGAAGACTATCCCAGTATTCAGACTGTATGAGCAAAAGCACATTAAGTATTTGAATGACCGTCTCATGTACTCTAATGAACTCTTATTCTAGAAGGTACAAAAAATATTTTTTTGACTGTTGAACATAAATTACAGTAGTGATGTCTAATTATTTTTATGTGTATGTTTTTTTTTTTTTTTTTAAATGTATCAGAAATATTGGCTATGGAGTCCATTACAAATATCCCTATCAGGACAATATAGTATATTTCATTTCATCTCCTCCAATCTGTCAAACTTTAACCTGCTTAATGTGGGCTTTTACAGCAGAATCTACCATCAAGATGCTTTGGAACAATCTCTAGTGAAAAGCACCATATTCATAACTTTGGAATGTTTATGGTGGACAAAATAAATGCTCTAAAAGAAATACAACTATAAACAACCATTTTATTAATATATACAGGAAACTCCAAAATAGTGTTCATTTAGTAAAAAGAGCCCGACTGCCCCTTTGAAACTCTTCTGAACAGATGAATAGGCTTTTTAAATACTCTGCGTATAAGCCGAATTCCTCGTTGCGGGTTCTCAGACCTCACGCCGCAGTCACGCCACGGTCACGCCACGGTCACGCCACAGCTGGGATAAAGTACTGAAGAGAAACATCCTCATGCAGGAAGATCAGGTGAAGAACCCTATTGTGGACTATATCTAGGTCAAAAACAACAGAACAGGCTTTTTTAAGTAAAATGCTGAGAGTATGAACAGGACAGGTGTGTGTGTGTGTGTGTGTGATCTTACTGCACATGGCTCTGCTGGGATTGACCTGTTGTCCCGTCAGGAACTGCTGCAGTTTGCGGATGTCCAGCCGTGTCTGAGCCATGAACTCGGAGTCTCTGTGACTCGCACTGGTGCTCTGAGACCCGTCCACACCTGAGGGACACACACACACACACACACAACACTATTAGCACTATACACACACAATATATATATACGTGTGTGTGTGTGTGTGTGTGTCTCACCCCAGGGTGGGTTCCCCAGCTCTTTGAAGTGTGTTGTGACAGAAACCAGTTCCGTCTCAATCTTGAGATTCATTTCCCCGTTCATGTTCGCCTCCATCACCTGAAACACAGTCACGTCTGCTTCATCTATACAGCGCTTTAACACACACACAGCAGCTTTACAGTGAGAACAGGAGATTAGCGTAACAGAGAGTGTTTGCCTTTACAGCAGATCTAGAATAAAGTAATTGTCCAGATCAAGTTAGTTTTGATTGATGTAAAGATCATTAGCGATTAGCTTAGCGGCCGCTAACACGACAGCGCTCTACAGAACACACAAACCCTTAATACGATCCGGCCGCTCGACAGGGTTAGAGCTCGAGAACACACACCAAGAGACAGGTTTCAAAGTTTTTGAAAATGAGTTTAAACGATACGGTTCTCAGTGTAAAATTTATAAACAATGGCTTCTCTGGCCTGAACGATAACAGCGTTTTTAGCCGTCATTTTAATATCGTTTAGCCTGTACAGAGGAAAATCGGTGTCGCGTCGATGAGGCCTTCGGATCACATGACCAAACACTGACCACATGACCAATCGGTTGTCAACTCTCACTTTACAAACTGCTAAATGGCTGTTTGATTAGAAGGCGGGATTAATCTCCTGTCTCTTAGTCACAGTGAACTGACCAGATAGTTGGAGAGGTTCTTCATGCGGTCCACGACGCTCCTCATGGTCTTCAGCGGCGGCAGATATATGCTGACCTGCACACACACACACACACACACACACACACATATATGCTGACCTACACACACACACACACGCATATATGCTGACCTACACACACACACACATATATGCTGACCTGCACACAGACAGTCAGACACACACACACACACACAGATATATGCTGACCTGCACACATCAGAGTATCATCACACACACACACTCACGTCGTAGTCCGGCATCTGCGGCTCCCGGAAGTCGTGCCAGAGTCTCTTGGGAATCACATCCACTGGGATATCATGGGTGACCACACGACTGGCCCCGGAGAGAGAGGGCTGGACACACACACACACACACACACATGATTATTATTACTATGAGGGTTAGGCAATGATTAACCACATCCAAAATAAAACTTGTGTGTCTACATAATATATGTGTGTGTATTGTGTATATATAAATACACACACATGTATATATTTTAGAAAAATGTGTAATTTATATATGCAATATATAACTGCTAATATTTCAATATTTTTATTTGTGTGTGTGTTTATATGAGTGTGTGTTCGTCACCAGCTCCGCCGCCAGCGTGAGACACGGGCAGTTCTTCTTGGTCAGCTTGATCTTGACGGATCGGGCGTTCTGGGCCGTCTTTAAGGCCCGCGACAGATTCTCCGGCGCCAGTTCCAGGAAGATCTCGTTAGCGTCGGCCGACACGCCCTCCATCTGGAACTCATCGAAGAAGTTCACCTGGAACACACACACACACACACACACACACACACACGAGTGAGACTGTGGTGGTCAGATCTGTGTGTGTGTGTGTGTGTGTGTGTCAGTACCTGTGCGAGCTCACACCACATACTGACTCCTCCGGAAGCCACTTTCCCCGACAGCACGAAGAACAGGTGATCACAGGTGAGCCTCAACACACACGCCTTGCTGAGTTTGGACACAGTGTTCACCACACCTGGGTAGAAACACACACACACACACACAACACTATCAGCACTACACACACACACATCTGAAACACACTCAGACACACACTCAATACACACTCATTAAACAGACACACACAATACACACACACACAAACTCATTAAACTAAACGGACTTCAGAGTAACGTTAGCTCTAAAGCGTTATATCATAAATAATAAAATCAGATTCTAAACTCACGTGTGAAGTGATTTAAACATCCAACATCGATGATTTTAGCACGAAACTTCATTTTCCGCCAGTAAACTTAATATTTTAATACTTTGCTCTGTTTCCTCTGTTTTTGTTGATATTCATGTGTGTTTTCGCGCCAGCGGTCCGGCGGAGAACTATTCCGTCCGGAAACACACGCTCGGGTTTACAGTTCCGCTCAGTCACACTTCCTGTCACCACACGGTGGCGCTCCTGCTCAAGCTTTCATCGTCACAGTAAAACACCTGCCTCAACTTATGCCTCTTACGGCATGAAAATATGCTTACATTTATTGGTTAATCTTTTAAATAATTTTAGTATTTTTATATTTAACGTTCACAAATAAACCCAGTGTTTTTAGAGTCTTATATAAAATATAAAATATATATTTTTTTTAAAAAAAGGCTTTTTTGATCGATTAACAGGCTAATATTTACTGTTTATACCGAATATATATTTAAGCAAGAGAGTATTAATGTTTGATTAATAATTCTGTCTTATCTGTGTTTTGTTCGTATGATTTGAAGTAGGAGGAGAGAGAGAGAGAGAGAGAGAGAGAGAGAGAGAGAGAGAGAGAGAGAGAGAGAGAGAGAGAGAGAGAGAGAGAGAGAGAGAGAGAGGAAACACACACACACACACAGCTTCAGTGTCGGAGCTCCGCGTTTGCTTCTGCTGGATCCGATAGACC